ATCTGCTGAATGGGGGGGAGCTCTTGGGCAGGAGGAGAAGTACTGGTACGAGCTCCAGTAGTACCTGTCCGGAGGCGGTTGTACTGTAGGTACCTCTCCTGCAGCTGCCGGGAGGAGAGGTGTCCTCCAGGTGTAGTACGCGCAGGGTCAGCACCCCCAGACTCAGCACCCCCAGACTCAGCACCTCCAGGCTCCGCACCTCCAGGCTCCGCACCTCTAGGCTCCGCACCTCCAGACTCCGCACCTCCAGGCTCCGCACCTCCAGACTCAGTACTCCCAGGCTCAGCACCCCCAGACGCAGCACCCCCAGGCTCAGCACCCCCAGGCTCAGCACCCCTAGCAGGACGAGAGTCGACAGCTACCTCGACAGGCTCACCCGGGTCTACCTGGGACACACCTGAGGGAGCGGCACCCTGAGGGGGGAGGGGGTCTGGTACCTCAGCACCTGGAGCGAGGAAGAGAGGCGGAGGGGGGAGCGGGGCAGTGCGGTAGGGGAAGAGGCGGTAGTAGGGGACGGACTCATCAAAAGTGACGTCCTGAGAGGCCAGGACACGACGCGAGGTGGCGTGGTAGAACTGCCAACCAGGGGCGTCCGGGACAAAGCCAAGGAAGACACAGGGGACAGCGCGACGGGAGAGCTTGTCCGCGGACGTGTCTCGAACAAAAGCTCGGGATCCCCAGACCCGAAAACGTGACGCATCGCCAGCCTCTCCCGTCCAACGCAGGGTCGGAGAAGTCTCCGGGAGGGAGACTCGGGGCCAGAGGTTGAGCTGATGCGCAGCGTATCGGACTGCAAACGGCCACAGAAAATGGGGGGCAGCCGCATGAACCAAGGAGGTACGAGCGACCTCCATGACCAAGCCAATGCGGCGCTCAGCAACCCCATTCTGCTGTGGAGAGGCCGGAAGCGTGAACGACTGCTCAATGCCCTCCTGCTGACAGAAGGCCTCCAAGAGGCCGGAGGAAAACTCCCCACCTCAGTCAGAGTGCAGACGCAGGACAGGAAAGTCGGAGTGGAAACGCTTGCTGAGCTGGAGACGAGATCTGCGGATCCAAGGGATCAAGACATCAGGGACGTCACCCTTGGTGCGCAAGGGGAAGACCGTGGTGTAGCGCGAGAAGTCGTCAACAACAATCAGGAAGTACCTCTCCTGACCCTGTCCACGGACGCGGGCTGGGCCCCACACGTCCAAGTGGAGCGTCTGCAAAGGAGCAGTCGTCGGGGGAAAGGAGGAGGAGTGAGGAGTGGCGCGCTGCCGCCCCTCGACACAGGGAAGACAGGGAGGAGCAGGCGAGGGTGGGAGGGGAGGGAGAACCCTGGGAAGACCAGCAACAAGGTCCCGTTTGTGCATGGCCCGAAGGCGCTGCACAGACGGGTGACCAAGGCGGTGGTGCCAGAGGACAGTCTCATGCCCCAGAGAGCGACACGAGCAGGGGGCGGACAGCTGACCTGACGCAGACGCAGACGCAGACGCAGCTACCTGAGGGGACTCAGTGGTCAGTGTGTACAGGTCCGACCCCGGCTGCCGAGTGAAGGTAGCCAGGTGACGGCCCGTCCGAGCACACGTGCAGTGTGTCACGCACTCGTAGGCAGGGGTGAACTGGTGAACACCCCCGTCCTGGAGCGCACTACCCGCCACCAAGTTCGTAGAGAACGAGGGGAGGTAGAGACCAGACAGTGTGCCAGACGGGACCGCAGGACAGGGAAGAACAGTGGAGGAGGTCGCAATGACCGGACCCCCAGAGGGGTCAGCGAGGGAGACAGCAACTGGCCGAGCGAGTGGCTCAAGGGCAGTGCGATCTCGAAAGAAACAGCGAGAAATACCTGAGTCCAGTGTGAAGGTGTGCAATGACGCAGTCGACTCAGTACCAGGGGAGACAGACTCACCAGCACCTAGAGTGGCAGCCTCACCATCACCTGGGGTAGCAGACACGCGAGCACCTGGAGCTGCAGACGCACTAGCACCTAGAGCAGCAGCCTCACTGGTCAGAATGCCCGGGTCGGGCGGAACACGCAAGTACTGAGCACCCTCTCCACTAGTAAACATAGCATACATGGCAGTGAGAATAGCATCAAAGTCTAAAGCCCAGATATCAATTCCCTTCTTCTCCAGATCAAACCAGCGGGGCAGCTCATTGCCGTCAGGGAACTGAGTGCGCCAAGCGTCGTCAAGGCGCGCGAAACAGCGCGGCGTGGGGTGCGGCTTCCCACACGTCTGACCAGCGCGGTCACCAGTGCGGATGACGTACGTGCAGCTAAGGCCACCCGCCCCCCCACGCTGCGCATACCACTCACGGGCCTCCTGGAGCGACGGAGTGTGCTGCTGGCTCGGACCACCACCAGCGCCTCCACGACCACCACCGCCGCTGCCACCTCCTCGACCACCCCCTCCCCTGCCGCTGCCACGACCACCGCCGCCCCCGCTGCCGCCCCCGCCCCTGCCACCGCCTCCGCCGCTGCCGTCACTACCCCCACTGCCGCCACTAGTCTCTCCAGCCCCTCCTCCACTCCCACCGCCTCCACCCCCGCCTCCCCGGCCGCCACCTCCACCCTTGCCTCCTTTGGTCCTGCGGCGCCCGCTCGAAGCAGACGCGGTCCCGACCTTCTCAGCACCAAGGAGGTCGACAGCAGAAGCAGAGGCGACAGAGGGGAGAAGGGGGGAAGGGGAACACCCCTCAAAGAAGGGGGTGCGGGGCTCGCCACGAGAGGCACCTACGGCGACGATGCTCGCCTCAGCTGCAAGTAGGTCCTTCTCGAGGAGGGCAATGGTGAGTTCAGTAGGGGAGCGAGCTAGAAAGGAATCCCTGACTGTGCGCAGAGAGTCAGGGAGGCGGGTGACAATGTGGTAGAGAGTGAGCCAGAGCGGGGGGGGGGTTGCTAGCAAGGAACTCGGCAGGCATAGCAGCGCGAAAGCGGGCCTCACTAGTCTTGAGGTGGGTGATGAGGTCAGCAACAGTGTGAAAGGAGGCCAGGTCGGGGAACAGGTAGGGCAGTGAGAGGCGGCCTAGTGCGGCAGACGCAGGTGAGGAGTAACGAGCAACTACAGCTGTGTAGAGGTCCTTAGCAGTCTTGCACTGGCCGAAGTGCTCGCGCTCATCTAGCGGTAGGGAGTTGCGAATAGCGAAGCGAGCGTGCGCGTCACGGGTCTGCCACTGGGAGCGCAGAGTGCTGTCAGCAGTAGTGTCAGGGGCAGTAGCATGGCCTAGGGCGTGATCGTACAGTGAAATGTCCTCCTTGGCAGTGAGCTGTAGGAAGAGGTGCAGGTCATCTAGCCAGGTGTCAAACTTCACTGGGCGGCCCTCAGCATCGAAGGCTAGCACAGGAGGGCTAGCCATAGTAGCAGTAGGAGGAACAGTAGTAGTGTCAGTAGCAGTGACAGCAGCAGCAGTAGCGCGGTAGGGCAGGGCAGTGCGGCTCTAGCAGGGCAGGGCCGGGGCAGTGACGGCGGCGGCGGCGGCAGCTGCTGAAGGCTCGGGAACGGCCGCTGCTGCAGGGACGGCGGCGGCTGCTGTGGTATTCTCGAACGGCGGCTGCTGCTGCAGGCTCGGCGGCGGCAGCTGCTGCAGGTCTGGCGGCGGCTGCTGCTGCTGGCTCGGCGACGGCAGCTGCTGCAGGGTCGGCGGCGGCCGCTGCTGTAGGTCCGGCGGCGGCTGCTGCTGCAGGGTCGGCGGCAGCTGCTGCTGCAGGGTCGGTGGCGGCCGCTGCTGTAGGTCTGGCGGCGGCTGCGACTGCAGGCTCTGCCGCGGCTGTTGCTGCAGGCTCGGCGGCGGCAGCTGCTGCAGGTCCGGCGGCGGCTGCTGCTGTAGGCTGGGCCGCGGCAGCTGCTGCAGGTCTGGCGGCGGCTGCTACTGCAGGTCCGACCGCGGCTGCTGCTGCTGGCTCGGCGGCGGCTGCTACTGCAGGTCCGGCCGCGGCTGCTGCTGTAGGCTCTGCGGCGGCAGCTGTTGCAGTCTCAGCGGCGACAGCTGCTGCAGACGAGAGGGAAGGGGACCGCGACGGGTCCTGGAGGGGCCGCGAAGGGCGGCGAGGGGCGGCGACGAAGCCTCGACGAGGCGGCAACAGAGCCGCGAAGGGGAGGGCGGCGACGGAGTCGCGTATGGGCGGCGACGAGGCCGCGTAGGGGCGACGACGAAGCCGCGTAGTGGCGGCGACGAGGTCGCGAAAGGGCGGCGACAGAGCCGCGCGGGGGGGGGAGGGCGACGAGGCCGCGAACAGGGGGGCCGCTAAGGGGCCGTAAGCGGGGGTCGCGAGGGGCCAACGAGGGGCCGCGAGAGGACGGTAAAAGAGGGGCCGCGACGGGCCGTTAGGGACAGGCGCACGGGGCGCGACTAGGGTAGGCGCGAAGCGCGCTCCGGGCAGGAAAAAAAAATTTCGTTTTCCGTGGTGGGCCCTAGGAAACTTCCTGCTCTATACCATGTTAGAACTAGAGAGGAAAGTATGTCGATTAGGTTAGGGGAGGGGGTACAAGAGTATCGAGAGAATTGATGTACCCTCTAAGAATCACCCCTACACAACCTAGAACTAAATAATATGAAACATATAATTTGACAGCGGGTGCAGGGCATCCACTTCGGCTCTCCCCCTTCCGCTGTCATGACCAGAATTCCCCGCGTGATAAGCCGATTCGGCTGGTCCAACTCCAGCCTCTGAGCCAAGCCTTTTCCCAGGAGGATGTGATGCGCTCCTGTATCGATGATGGCTTGCGCCACCGTCACCCCTCCCACAGTGATGGCCCCTTTTTCGATTGTCAGCACAGACGGCTGACACACCATGCGCTCCTTGGGGTGCCTCTCTGAAGTCATTTCTTGCTCTGGCTCCGCCGCATACCCTCGAAACCGTCGCACCCTCGTGGCTGGTTGCTGCCGCCTCTCCGCTCGATCGCTCCTGAGGTCAATCTCGTCTCTCTGCCGCGGGGCCCGCACCATGAGCACGAACTCTGCCTCGCTACCACCTTCTTCCTCCTTCGCCAGCATGGCAGGTTCCTTGTGAGCCATCCCCTCTAACTCCCGAATCCTTGCTTGCAGTATCCGGAGCTGCGCCTCCAGGTCTTCCTTGTTCCTCGGTCCTGCCGATCGCGGTCGCCGACTGTAGCAGTCAGAGGTGCGATGCCCTCGCCTGCCACAGTTCTCGCACGTGGGGAGTTCCGGACATTCCCGGCGCAGGTGCCCTTCTCCCTGACAGTGATCGCACATCTGCGGCCTGCTGCAATCCCGCTGCAGATGTCCTTCCTGCCCGCACCGATGACACCTGCGCGTCTCCGCGTCTCGTCCTCCTCGCCTGCTGGATGATTCTCCGGCCGCGACGGCCGCCCAAGCTGACTTGCGCCGCTCTTCGACTTGCATACCGCCTCTCTCCATTTTGTAAAGGCGGAGCCCTCGTGCTTCTTCGCCAGATCGTACGAGTGCTCCAGTGTCGCTGATGGTCCCAACTCGAACACTCTTCCCCGCACATCTCCGGCCACCCGCTCGTCCAGGCTATTAAGGAATTTGGACACCAGCCTCCACTCATCTCGGCATTCCATATCTGCCACGAGCTCGCGCAGCCTGCCGTACGTCGCCAGTAGTGACTCTCCCGCCTTCCTCTTGAATGACGCGAACTCCCTCACACGTTCTGGCGTCTGCACGGGAAAGTGTCGCCTCAGTGTGTCGAAGAACTGCGTAACCACGTCCCATGTCACTCCCGTGGCTTGCGCCGGCTCGCTCAGCATGCGTTCCAGCTCCATGCCATATGCAGTTTCCGCCTCTCCTGTCACCGTGTTTGAGAGCCCCCGGAAGAAGTCCTCCGTTTCTAACCCGTCCTTCATCCAGCGGTACTGCGCATTGCGGATCTGCATCATATAATTTTTCAGGCTGCTGCCCACGCCCGGCGTACCCGCGAAGCGCTCGGGGACCTCGATCTTGGGTAACGTGGCGTATCTTACGTTGCCCACCCACGTTAATTCCGTCATTTGATGTTCCGACATGGAGAGACGCCTCATGCGTCCGAGCAGCTCACCATCGGTTCCGTTCTCCCCCCTTATTTCTTCACCGCGTGGTTGCGACCCCAACTCTGCCGCTTCCACTAGCGGTCTCCCCGTCGAGCTCTCTCTTGCGTCTCGGCCTTCGCTCGGCAGGTCGCTCATGCTGTGCCTCCGATGCGGTGCCGTGTAGGTTTCCCTGTGGGCGCCGGCTTCCGTTCCGCCCGTTTGAGTGCCTCTGCCACCACTCGTGACATCTCCCGCTCGTCATCCCGGCGTAGCCATCGTCGCCGTCACCAGCGGCCGTTCGTAATGCTTCCCAGACCGTGTCTGCATGCACTATCTTCGGCTCTTTAATCCAGAGATTTTTTTCGTTGTATGTCAGAAAATCCCCTCACTACTAATGGCCGACAAGCTGGTTCCCTAGCGTGCTCATGACCACCTGTGGTTGGTTTAACCCGATTACATTGAAGCAAATGGGAAACATACAACGAAGCCGCTAGCACTAGGGTTTCATCACAGCTATGTACAGCAAGATTCTTTCTCCCTAGCCTAGCACTTTTGCCCCACACACATCACATGGGCGAGGCTCGGGGGTGCCGAGTCGTATGTACAAACCGCGGGCGGTTTGGATCTGCATGGGCTCCAGCACGAGCCCTCTGCCAGCTGCACGCTTGGCTTGCATGTTGCACTGCAGCTCCTGCCACCTGTTGGTTGCGCTGTTCTTGTACGCGTCAACAGCTCTCGCCCGGTACAGGAAAAGAAACATACCTCACACAAAGGAAACATACACCCCAACCCGTATCCCAACATTCTCATACAAACATTCTTGTGCGATATGGTACATTTATGTACACCGCCCTCCTTGCCTTAGCCTCCGTCCTTGTCCTTCCTCCGGTTTCCCTCCCCTCTGCGTCTGCCTCTGCTGCATCCCTGCTGCTCCATTGCTGACAAAGTCTACGCGCTGTTCCGGTCATTATGTGGCCCTCCCTAGCTTCATAATACCGTGACGGCACATGAGAACAAAAGTTCAGAATGATTGAATCAACATTGGCAACACAGACTACATCAGACCTAGCAAGGCTGCTGGTCGACTGCCAGCACAGCACGGTCGACCGCGTGCCAGCACGACTTGGTCGACCGCGCTCCAGCAGTGCAGAGTCGCGGCTTGCCAACGTTGCCAGTCCGCGGTGTGCCAACGCTGCAGTAAGTCGGCTGCACAGCGTTGCATCCGCGGGACAACGGTGCACCTGCTTCGCAGGTGCGTGCAGCTGGTTGGCGCCCAACTCCCCGTCACATGCCCAGCGCAGACACTCCACCCGTGACGGCGCCCACCAGCCACGTCGACCTCGGGATGCCACTCCCGAGGTCGTCCTCGCAGAAACCACCCCCGAGGTCGTCCTCGCAGAAACCACCCCCGGCGACCTTCGCACACGTCGCCCGGGTATCCTAGTCGACTGGGTATCCCGCGGCCCCCATGGCCCCCGGTCGTCCACCCGCGGCCCCGCGGTTCTCCCGCGGTCCCGCGGTCCCGTGGCCCTCCCGCGGTCCTCCCGCGGTTCTCCCGCGGCCCCGCGGTTCTCCCGCGGTCCCGCGGTCCCGCGGCCCTCCCGCGGCCCCGCGGTTCTCCCGCGGCCCCGCGGTTCTCCCGCGGTCCCGCGGTTGGCTCCGCCCAAGCGAGGACGGGGCCAAACACTACTCCCGTTGATAGCCGAGGGCCTGCAAGTGGAACAGAAACGCTGCGAGCAAAGAGACTGCACAGTCAGAAGGGCAAGGAACTCGGAGACGACGCGGATCTCACGGATGAAAGTGACAAATATTATCATGTGCTTTCCATGACACCTGTCCGTGCTCTTGTCACATGTAACTTCGATGTATGGGCTTGAAAGGATGTGCTGGAGTTGCGTTGTATGCAACCACGTGGCCATCGACTGTGTTAGCTGCCCGAAGCCGTATCTGCGGCGCATGTGAAACAATGCTAGAACTTACACAAATGGTAAACAAAACCAACAGCCGATACATGATTTGACAACGGGTACTCACGTTGTGTAATATGCTCCATATTCTTTCGCGCGGAAAACATGAACCTTCTTCACCGCGAGGTAGCGAACAAGTTGCACCCATAACTCAATGGGAGCATCTTGCTTGGTCATGAAGAGGAGGGAGTCACAAAGCTCAATAACACGCTCCTTCTGATCTGGGGTTGCCGGCCAGCTTCAGCAAGAAGCTTACCCTGGTGCTTGAGCACCGCCTTGTGCTTGGTTGTTGTTGTATGCCTCTTGAGCGCCTGCGTCTGTACAACCGTGCGCCCTTCCCGCCTTTCCCGCACCGTCCAGAGTAACCTGCATGCTCGGTACAGATACTGCACTTGAAAGCTGGAAGATCGTCAGATCGCCTCAATAGAATAAGCCACAAAAACTTGTCTAGCCACTCAGACTTGTACGTATAAAGAGTCTCGGCGTAAATTGCTTCACGGCGTGACCGTATAGAAGGACTAGGAATAGATGGCCACTCATTCGAGCCGGCAATCATGGGCGACGGAAGTTGGTCGGCTGGGGAAGGTGGGGTAGCTCCATTGTCAGCGCCCTTTGTGCGCTATGGTAGCGTTGGCTGCGTGTATCAATCAGTTTTTTTTTTTTTTTTCCACGGGTTCGGGAGTCGATTTTTTAGCTCAAGGGGGCAAGTTGTCTTGCTTCATGATTGGCGCTATCAGAGAAGCACACAGCCCCTCCTCATCAAGGTGTTCGAACAGGATATTGTCGGGCGACTCGAGTTCTGGTGGCTTTTCCTTGTCAGAGACTTGCACTAAGCTAAAAAACATTAGTTCGGGACTGGAAACAACTTTGGAATGGTCTACATGCAGCAGACGACGGGAATCACAGCTTTATTCGCTGTTATTTTCCATGTCGTCATGGTGTTCTAGCATAGTAAGCAGCGGAAACCACCTCACATCAAACCTAGTGACGAGGGAAAAAACAAGGGATTGTACGAGCATAATACAGGCCACAGCTGGCTGCCTCTTGGTTACACCAGGATAAAAGGGGGAAATCCTTTTCATATACAAAGCTTCGAGCAGAAGGGGACCCTGGATGGCAGAAATAGTGCCTAGGATGGGCGGCGTGGAAGCAACCTTACCTTGACGTTAATATGGGCATGGCATGGTGCTTGCCAGCACAGCCCAATCCTAACGCGTCACAGGTGATGGCAACGGTGCAAGAACCTTGGCAGCCCTCCAGCACCACATGGTGGCCACGTTTAGACTAGTCAAGTCTAAATATTGCAACGAAACGTCCCAATCGTGTGAGACGCCGTGCCAACAACACACATCTGTGTCAAACATTGTATATGTTGTATTTGAGTAGGCTGTAGTGGGTTAGCCTATAGGGGGGTCACAACATTAGGGTTTCATATTGTCAGAATATTATGCTCTAGCCTGCAGTGGGGTACTCTATAGCGAGTACAACCCAATTAGGGTTTCCTATATGTATGCCAACTGCTGCTAGTGCAAACCCTCCTTTCTTCATTCTTACTTTCTACAGCTAGTTCTGACATGCTATCTCAGCAGGTCGACCCTCCTGGGTCGATCCTGTGGGTGGGCCCACCACCTAAGCCTTCCGCTGCTACTGCTACTGCTACTGCTACTCTGTGTGTCGCACGCCTCGTGGCGTGCGACGGATTTTTCATCCCGCCGTGCGCCCCGAGGTGTGCGGCGGTTTTCTGCCCGCCGTGCGCCCCGAGGCGCGCGGCGGTTCTCTGCCCGCCGTGCGCCCCGAGGCGCGCGGCGGTTTTCTCCCCCCGTCGCCCGCCGAAGCGCCCCCGGGGACCCGCGCGTCGCCCCCGTCGCCCGTGCGCGGCCCGTACTGCACGAGCGCGGCCCGTACAGGCTGCGCCAGGCCCGCGCGCGGCCTGTCCTGCACGCGCGCGGCCCGTACGGGCTGCGCCAGGCCCGCGCGCGGCCCGTACAACCCGCGCGCTGCTCGTACGGGCTGCGCCAGGCCCGCGCGCGGCCCGTACGGCCTGCGCCAGGCCCGCGCGCGGCCCGTACGGGCTGCGCCTGGCCCGCGCGCGCCTCGGGCCGCCTGCGCGCGGTTCGTACGGGCTGCGCCTGGCCCGCGGGCGCCCGGTCTCCTCTCCCACTGAGCTGCACGCCGTCCCTCGCGCTTCTGACGGCGCCCCACCCCTGCTGCTGCCCGTACTCCTGAATTAGGGTTTGGGGGTGGAGCGTATGGGGGTGCCGTCTCTGTCAGCCGTCCCCTGCTCCTCCTCCTCCTCCGTCTCCCACTGCTGCAGCTGCTGCTCAGGGGGGTGGGTGTGTGGGAGCCGAGGGTTTAGGGTTTAAGGGGGGTGCCATGGGAGTGGAGCTAGGGTTTCAGCAGGGGGTGTGTGTTGGGGGGTGTGGGACAGTTGGAGGAGGTTGGGTGGAGGCAGCCGTCGTGTCGTCTGCAGCGCCTGTATTCCGGGGTTCTGATAGCCACCGGTAGCTCAGAGAGCCGGTTGCACCTGTCGCCCGTGGGTCCGTTGCTCCTGTCGCTGCTGATCAGACGCAGAGCCTGTTACTCCTGTATTCCGGGGCCCTTGCTCCCGGTAGCCACTAGAGTTGCACCAGAGCCGTCTGTTGCCCGTGTGTCTGCAGCTTCAGTCGTCGCCTCCACTCTTCTCTCCTCTCGCCAGCCCTCCTCCTCCTCACTTGCCCTCTGTAACTGCCTCTAGCTTTGCTCATAATTGTGCACTTTAAACTATTGCTTCTTAAACTTGTGCTCAGAATGTGTGGTGACATTGTGATCCACCCTGAGCTTGTACTGCTTTGCTTTCTCTGCTGATTACACCCCACTTTGGCTATGGGGGTGTGTCAGAATATTATGCTCTAGCCTGCAGTGGGGTACTCTATAGCGAGTACAACCCAATTAGGGTTTCCTATATGTATGCCAACTGCTGCTAGTGCAAACCCTCCTTTCTTCATTCTTACTTTCTACAGCTAGTTCTGACACATATTTGTACTCACAATC